TAGAAAGAAAAGTTATCTTTAAATTCCTTTTAGCTTTCTCAAAAATCATTTAAATACAAATATGCATAGTGAATGAATAATTTTGGAAAACTAAAATGTAACTTCTGCGCGCTTCTAAAAGAAGGAGCAGACAATAAACATAGTCAGTATAAAGCCACGCAATATGTTTCTTTGTTTTAACGGTCTGAGAAAAATTTACATTCTATGTGGAAAGAATCTTTGACGTTCGACAAGAAAAGAACTATTCATTCTTCATGTACAAGTGGACGAATGAGGAAAAACACTTTCAAGCTGTAGACATTTTAAAGAAAAGTAGAAAAGTCGTTCATTAGTGATGATACGAAACTGATACGAAAAAAATTGGATATCATATTTGAATTCAAACATTCTTTTCACAAAGAATATAAGTTATTTTTCTCAGACCGTTAAGAACGAAGAAAAATATCGAATGGGTTTACTCCCTGTCTGTTCGGCGGGATTGTCTCATATATATATATAGATGCATATCTTGAGAAGAGCACACGTATCCAGTAAATATGAATTATCATACTGCAATATTTCTTATCCACGTATTCCTGGCCATTTTGCTACACAATGTGGAGTGTACTGGCACCGTAGATAGAACAAAAGGTATGGGAAAAAAATGTCTTAGGCGCATAGTTAACTTCGATTTACTTACATAGGTGTGGGTGTCGCGAAAGCTGAAGGCGTGGATTTGAGCAGCAAAAAACGTCTCACTGGCTCGAAAGGTCTTGGCGGACTCGATATTAGTTTTCTTCGAAAACAAAAATACAAGAAGATCAAAGCGAGCACACTGGATTCGTGTAAATTGACGCCGGCACCTTGTTCCGCTAGTGAAATGAGTGCGTATACTATCCACTTCGACGATGGGCACCATTTCGATGCTTGTACGTGTGGTCACTCTCCACACATGACTATTGATAACATGGTATCAAGATTTGGTCAGGTACCAAATGCCATACGAAAGAGAGTCAAATCGATCATGGCAGGGGACAGTCAAGGACCAGGTGGAGGAGCCGAGACCGCTGGCGATCGTTCAACATACTTTGGAGATTTCGGCGTTTCTGTTTTTATCCATGAATCTGCGCATGTTCTCGATGGAACAGCTGCTGGTGACGGTCATGGTTTTAGTGGTAATGGAAATATATGGACTGATGCGATCAATGCTGATTCGTGCATTCCCGACGATTACGCTGCCGCTTCGATTGTCGAAGATTTTGCACAAGTGGTCGTTCTTTACACATATTTACAGCACAACAAACACAACTGGAACTCGCCTTTTCGCGGTGGGCCGAAAAATGAGCGAAGTAAAGACAGTGTTCAAGGTTGCATAGACCATCAATTGGTTCTTGTTGCGAAACTGTTGAAAAATAGTATGCCTGCTCCCGATGGCTTCACAAATAATTTGGATGTTAATGACGCGCGTTTACCAGCTACTGTCAATCCTGTTTAATAGTTAATCAAACCATTGTATAGATAAACTAATTCATTTTCATTGTCTTTTCAATAAAAATATTAAAATGATAAGCTCTCTAAAGACAATTGGTCAAATCACTGTCATTTTATGAGATCATGAGCAACGAATACGTCATGGTCGTCAAGAACTGTAGAGAACAGAATTTTGAAATTTAGCTTGGCTTTGCGAACGCTAGATATTATAAAGACTGTGTTTATTGTCTGCTCTTTCTTTTAGAAGCGCGCAGAAGTTACATTTTAGTTTTCCAAAATTATTCATTCACTATGCATATTTGTATTTAAATGATTTTTGAGAAAGCTAAAAGGAATTTAAAGATAACTTTTCTTTCTACCTTTTTAAAAGGAAACATGAATCAATACAGAGAAGAGATTAATTCAGAATGTGTCAATCACAAACCATAAGCCTATCAAACTGAATAAAATTTCAATCGAAGTTTGACCTTGATAAGTTGCCATTTCTGGAATATAGCTTTTATCACGTTTAGTCAAACTTAATTTTGATCTATGTTTGGCGCCTGGAAGAATCTCTCTGGGAATACTTAAATAAATTTCGTCTTTTAGCTGAAATCCTATTTTCTCAGGCAGTTTATTTTCAAAACGGGGTCTAATTATATCATGGACACAGGAGGTTTAGTAGTCGAACATGTCAAAAAAACCCATAGTTTTCATTAGATTCTGAAGATACCTTATAATTAGCAAGAAAGCGTTTCTTTTTCTCTTGTAAAGTCGGTAGTATAAATGTGACTATTCACGCAGAAGTTGTGTGTTATCTGATGAAACTGTGCAATTTTTTATTGTTATTGCTTCAACGAAGATGGAAGAATTCACAGATGTGAAGAGAAAAGTATTCAAACGATGAAATCTATTTCAACCCGACAAACCGTATTTGTGTGATTAAGGTAAACGAGAAACTATTACGTATTTTTTGTGGAATTGTACGAGATATGTCATCTCCAGACAAACACTAAAAACGGGCTTCGGCTTCATTATTTTCAAGGGTGACTTCCTAGTACCGGCGTCATATCTCCAACCTCTTCTTATGTTTTTACTTCTGGTTTGTTTCCTTTTTTTTCTTTTGTCCTGTGTACACCGTAATGCGCATAAAACGATCGCTTGTTCGAAACACCTGTCCATGTACTGAAAATAAAGTTTGTATTTAAAATAACACATTTTAAATAAACTTTTTATTTGTGCTGGAAAAATACTCACTGTAGAAAATTGCTTAGGAAAAGGTCCAATGTTATCTGACTGTTTAGAAAATGTTTATTCTCTACTTTATGGCAAATCCGCTCAATTTTCTAGAAATAACTTTCAACATTGTAGAAAAGCGACTAGATTTTCCAGATTCTAGAAAATCAAAATCGATTTTCCATAAATAATTTCCAAGCTTGTAGAAAATCAAGAGCGATTTTCTAAATAGTTAGAAAATTGAATTCGATTTTCTTAGAAGACGAATCGGTCATTTTTTTCTTGCTTTTTTCACATCTATCAAAGCCTATCGTGTAACAGATCTGTGCTCCTTTTAGTATTGAACATCGGAAATGTTATTAAATTCAGAAAGTTCTCTTAGTTTTTGCAAATCAGCATTTTCTTCGAGAATGATTATTGTTGTAGGACATTTGACGATCATAAAGAGGCGCTGGGAAGGTTATTGGGTTGGGCCTGATTAAGACAAGGCGATTTGCATCAGAACTTTTTGAAGATCGCATAGTGATTCGCTCTTACTAATATTCCTCTCTTTTATGTCTGAATTTAGCATCTTCCAACAATGTAGTTGGTTGTATTAACTCAAAGACATGATCCTAACAATTCAGATTTATTTTCTTTATTTTTTAAATAAAATAACAGTCGTTCAACACGTGATCGATGTCGAATTTGGTTTTCATTATTAAAAGATCCAAATGGTCATCCAATAAGCTGAAATAATACAGCCCACTCAACTTCGAAGTTCAATAGCTTTTAATAACGGTGAAAAGGTTTATCTTGAGCCGTTTTCACTTTGCAAGTCTCTGATTATCAGCGTCGCTGAAGATTTTCTACAAATAATTCCCAGCAATGTAGAAAATCGATGTCGATTGTCCAACTTTCTGGAAAATCGAGGTGCATTTTCTATAAATAATTCTCGACTTTACAGTATATCCTTACTGCTGGCACGATACAAACCGAATTATTATTGTGTGAAATACATAGACTGTTACTTAGTAGACTAACGAAAGAAGCTATTAAGGATGGGTGGGATGCTGAATCAGCATCGTTCCTCATTGTCTATAAAAATGAAGATATTAACAATATGTTAACCATTGTTAACATCTCTTGTTCTAAATGTTCCACCCACCCTTCTTTTTTCACATTTTTTATTGTGCTGTAGAAGTTATCAGAAAATATTCCTCACTCGCTTCAAAGACCATAAAAAAAGATCTATGCACCAAATTTTGTCGAAAATATCATTGTATTCTAAGCTCGCAATTTATACGATTTTCGAGAAAAAGGAATGTATACATATATGATCTACGTTTTCCGTTCGGCTTTTGTTTTCTATGTGTCAAACAGTCGTGCACACTTGACTCGGAAGTCTTCGTTTCTGTCTGTGTGGCTAGGGTGCACGTAATTCATAGGATGAGTAATTTTTCAAAAGTATTAATTAGTGCATGTGTTATGAGAGTTGTGAGCTGTGCATTTGTTAGATATTTCTCGTTAGGTTATCAGCATACGGTCATTCAATCCAGATATATGCTCTCTACTTTGTGACATTTAAAAGAAAATAGAAATTCTTTTAATTAAACTATCTGCCCAGTTTACAAGCTAATTGATTTTTTATGTATTTTTCAGTTTTCAGACTTTGCTAATGAAAGAATGAGTCGTTTTTTCTTGTAATTTATTTGTTTCGTTAATTAATTTGGTGATCAAAACACATTTTTCGCCAAATTTTTCTTTCTTACAAAAAATAAGAGAATAAAAGAAGAACGATGTCCTCTCAATCCATCCGAAATTGACCTCTCATTTCGTTTATACTGAGAAGTTGATACGGGGCTTGCGGAAAGTGTCGGTGAATTCATCGTTTTTCTGATTTTGTTTTAAAAGCGAAGATACAGAGAAATCTTTTTGAAAATCCTCCACTCTTCCTTCTCAAAACTAAGACATGTTCAATGCATCTAATAAAAAGTAGTCGCCAAGCATTTTACACATAGTAGAGAACTCTTTGATGTTTAACATTGAAACTGTATACTTCAAGTTCATCATTGAAAATATTTGTAAGCGTTAGAAAACTCAGTTTACTACTAACTAAATTTTCTTGAATTTTTCACCAAACATCTCGAACCATGCGTTATCGCTCTCGTCTTTTTTGCTGTTACATCTTTGAGAAGAATGATAGCGGAGCAGATCACCTAAATTGTTCTGATTGCTGGTTGACCTCAGTGGTGATATTTTTCTACTATTAATATTATTACATTGTATCCATTCGTCTAGAAGAAGACTTACATTTGGTGAACTTAGACCAGTGGCATAGTCGTTCGATATACTAGTTGCTTGAAAACCGGTATGAGAGTCTATTTTTGCTGGTATATCATGCACCAAATCACCTAAAACATCATCTACAGGATCAACTGGACGTATTCTTGTACGAGTTCTACGCCAGTGTTGGTCTATTCGAGTATGTGGCCTTTTTGGAGATGGTGATACTGTTTGAGAAAGTGTAAACGAACAATGCTTCGTTTTTGAATCTAGATCGACAGGCAGATATTGATTTAAATCATTATCATCATCTTCTCCATCTATTTGATGTTCGAGCAAATATTCATCTAAAATATCGTATTCACTTGATAAACTTGGAGCTGAACGCGTGGTTAAAATATCAGTAAAATATTTTCTACAAGCTCGTTCATGTAGTTGAAAATCTTGTTCGTTTTTAAAAGTATTTTGATTACAGGTTTCACATTGCCTTTTTATCAGTGATGGATGAACAAAATGAACACAGTTGCGAGAAAGTGATGCATGATTAGCACGTCTCATCTGCGGTCGAATTAACCGTGCATGTTGTTCTTTTGATCCGATTAAATGCTGACTCAACTTATATCTGCTAGTGAACGTTTGATGACAGTTAGGACCTAAATTGTTTATTGAAGTAGATTAAATAGAGTAATCGTTTTTAAAAGCTCACACTTATATTTCTTGAATTTGCCATATGAATGTGTTTGTTGATGAGCTATAAGCTCGAGTTGTGTGCTTGGCCTAAAATTCGGGCAGTCGGGACAGGGGTAAACGGAGCCTTGTTGAATTATATATTCAGTGCAAGGATTATACCCCGGCTTATAATGTTGAGTCGACCAAGGTGACGCATGTGTGTTGGATCTTGTTGCTAGTACCACAACAAGAACAACGGAACACAAAGTACAAACAAAAAGTAAAATTAACGAACAATGTGACGACATTTTTATCAAAAAAGTAAAAGATTTCAACTCTTCAGTAATGGGCGCCTAGAATTACGCTGTTTCTTTTGTTTTCATTCCTCCTCTATAAAAAAGCGCGACATGTGTTTTCTTCTGTTTTCAAATACATAGGTTATGCCTTGTATAAATAAGAATATTGTTAAAGTGACAAAATATTAAAGAGAATTCTGATGCATGATATACTGAAGCCCCATCTGTAATAGAAGACCATCTCCTATTAGAAGACCAGTCTAAGACTTGGGAGTTTCAAGCTGGAATAGAAGACCATGATCTTTTATGTCTGCTATGTATTTACAAAAGGAATAATTATTTATTTACAACAAAGAAAATAAAGCTTTTTTGACTTGCGTATGTTGTCGAACTGAAAGGACGTCCTGTTTGAATTGCATATTCAGTTTCAAGATCTATTTGAAAAGATGCGTAGTTTTCATCCTCTTTTAAATAGAGAAAGGCGAAAACGTCATTTTCATTGCATATTCTTTATAAAGATTGCATATTCCTATAGGAACACCCCATATCATGCACGTGTATCCGAAACGAGTATAACGAATGTGAACAAGAATTATTTGTTAAATATAAAATACTTTATAAAAGAAACCATCTGCTATCTAAAAAGACCGACTAGTTTGAAATAAACAGCAATTAATAACTTTTTCAGTAGAAAATAATATTGTTGGTAGGGATTAAAATTTTAAAAACAGCTTAATTTTTAAAAACGAACGTAAAACTCGAACAGAATATGTTTGGAAACCTCGGACGCTTTTTCGTCTTGTTCTCCGTTAAAAATTTGTTTAGAGGTGAGGTTGGGGCACATGGAAGTGCAGGTGCATTTCTTCAGGTGACACTAATATGTGGGTTTTTGGTGAGTGTTAGAAAGAAAACGGTTACGGGACATTTCCTAATATTTTCTAGTTTACTTCCTTATAAAGCAATTTTAGTCTTTATCATTTTGACAGGATCGTCGTGTGGCTAGACTACACTTATGGTAAAAAAAGTAACTTTCTAACAAGTTCGGTTGAGGTGTGGTATAGTGGGTGGTTAGAGGACAAACTGTCTGTCAAACCTCATCTAGTGTTAGTAAAGCAATAATTGCATGGTAGCGAAAAGTGATAGAAACATCGAGTTTTCGCATCGATTCTATAACCATGACTTTTGAACAAATTTGAGAAAAAACCCGAAACGCTGGGAATAAAAATAATGATGTAGCTGAATAGAACGAAGAAAATTCTAGAAAAAAAGAGAGAAAAATATTTTTCCACACAAAGTAACAGAGAAAAATAACATTTACAAAACGAGACCCATGTGAACCACAAGAAACTCAACAACAAAATAACGGTTAGAAATAGATATTTTACTTTTAGCTCGTTAATAGTTAAGGGCCCTCCTCCCCTCTAAAAATTTTTTTTTCCCAGAGCACTCAGTCTTACTGAGATTTTTACTGAATATGTATCTGACCATTGATAGTTCTCAGCAAAAATTTAAGCTCATAATATTGAGTTTTTCGCGAGTTATTGTAACATCAAGGGTCAAAAAGTAGGTGTCCGTGTGTCAAAGATTTTGTTTTCAGTTTTAATGATACGGACCTCGGGATGGTGTCAAAATGTAGAGAAGACCTGCCCCTATAGCAGATCAAAGCCGGATTTTTGAGAAAAAAAAAATTAATTTTTTTCGACAATTTTTTCGAAAAACCTAGATTAATTTTTTAGAAAACGCGAGTTTTTTGTAAACAAATAAATTGAAAACAAAAATTCCGGCTTTGTTAGGCTGTAGCGCTGATATTTACCTTCATTTTAAAACCTTCCCGAGCTTTCTAACATTTAAAATGGAAATCTTTGACGCACAATCAGGTAAAACAAAAAAACAGTTTCGAGAAAAACGCAAAACAAGTTTCTCCTTTGATTATCGCGGTTTTTTTTGGAAAGTGGTACAGAGAAAAGTCTGAGAGCAGTTCGTCGTGGGTTATCTGCAAATCGAATGAGCACATGTAGAGACATGTGCGATGTACTTTTTCCCATTTATTTCCACGGAAAAACCATAAAAAATCAATCAGTTTTTGATGTTGGGTGCCTCAGAAAAACCGCTGTAAGACCCTCAAAAATCATCGTAAAACCAATAAATCATAGTGCATTCGAAAGCAGATATATTGGGCTATACAACTATGCATAAATATCCAAATCGATTTTTTTGTCGAAAAATGCTTTTTTTGAGGGGTGGGAGGCCCTTAAGATAGAAAAGCTATAGTTGGCAACGATTATAGGTAATGCGTATATGCGAGAAATGCAAAATTGTTTCATCAGATGTAACGAGGAAACGCTCCCAACTGAGCAAACGTTTTCAGACCGAAACCTAGTGGATAATAGGTAGTCGACCATGGTGATTTCGAAAATCAACATGAGACGGGATACTAGGCATAAAGAGACCGGTTTCTATAACTTTGCAAAGAAAGGTCGTGCAGAGCTGGGAGATGTCTCATTTTAATCAGAAATGTGCGGGCTACAATTACGCCTTATTAAGAAAGGTTTGGGTTATATTTTAGAGTTTCTGAAAAACTGATTTTCCAGAAAAACGGTCTCCTGAGGTCTATTAGCCCGTGTCATGTTGATTTTCGGAATCAATGTGGTGGACTACCTGTAGTCCACTAGGTTTCGGCTCGAAAGTGATTGATTAGTTGGGAACATTTCCTCGTAAGAGGAGAAACGCTTAGGATCAATTACGTCGTTCGAACGGTACTATTTTTATCGGAATCACTCATATATATATATACATATATATCGGTTTATGCGTTGTCAATTACAATGAACGTTTCTTCTGTTATTCTACCATTTTTTCAGTAACATATATTCTGGGTTATTTCTGCTGTCACCAAATCAAATCGAACAGAGAGAGGTAGTTCGCAGAAAAATTCACAGCATCTCAGCATCACCATAAATCGAGTTGTGGGCCTTGCGTGGTTGTGACGAAAATTCTCTGCTCTACACAGTGGGCATTTTTTGCTTGAGCAGGCTGACTTTAGCTTTATGAGCGAAATAAAATTTGATGAACCATTTTTTTATAGGTTTTTCGTGATCCTCTTTCGAATGGCATGAGAGTTAGCTTTTGAAAAAGTTTTCTAAGGAGTTTTCCAGAGATCCGGTCTCTGGAAAACCCTTCAAAACCTTCTCAATATTTGAAAACGATGCCACTGGAAAGAGCATTGTCGAAAACCTATAAGAAACATGTTTCGAGTCGTTCAGGTTACTTTATCTTGAAATTCAAATTTTCAGCACGAAATTGTTTGTGTGAA